GGGTGGGGGGCCGGGGGCGACGCCGGGCTCGGGCGCCCCCCAGGAGACATGAAAACCCGAGACCCTCCACCCGGCCCGCCAAGCGCCACTTCCTCAAACACTTCCTGCTCCGACGTCACGGAGCACGTGGCCTTGACTGGTTCTTAAAGGGGCCGCGCGGGCGCGTGAGTGTGAGTGTGCCTTCCAGACCACCCTGGCGGGAGTTGGATAGACCGTGCTCGCTGCGCTCCAGCAGCCCTTCAATGACCCCAATGCGCCTGTCTTCTTTTTATTTATTTATTTTTCAATAAGCATTACATTTTTTATAGAGTTGTGTTCAAAAACCAAGTGTTTGTTTAATTAATTAAATTCCAGTGAAGATTAAGCTAGAAATAATAATAAAATCGAATACAATATAAAAGATTCATTTACTCATTCATTTTCTGGTTCTCCTAAGATGCAATGAACAATTCAAACACATTCTTCAGCCAGTACCCTCTACTTCCATAACTCCTGTTCTATTTAAACCAGAGGCAGGGTGAACCTGACACCCTGTCTCAGAACCTGGCTAGGTGGAATTTCATGCAACCCCACCAGGAGTGACTTGGGGACAGTTTCCAGGAATTGCCTGGCTCTCTTGATAAATCACAGCTGGACTCCTCAGAAGTGACAACCACTCCGCTCAAAAAAAAATTAAAGAAAAGGAAAAAATTTCTAGTAGTGTGAAACCAAACTGGGATTGCGCCCCTGACAGGGGAGTTGTGAACGGGACTCCCGGTCTTGAGGTTAATGGCTCCTCTCCTACACATCGGCGTTATGGTAAGGCCTCTTACTATGAAGTTTCTCCATTCCGTGGCATTCTATCAGTAGACAAAGGCAAGGTATGTGCAAGTGGCTTACAATATTCAACTCAGGCAGAGAAAGTATTCAAGGAAACCTGAGATGGTAACGGGTCACATCCATAGAGTGCTTACTAAGTGCCAAGCACTCTAAACCCTTCAACTCTTATGTAGATTTCCTTTTTCAATCCTCAGGGCACCTCCACAGACTAGAAAATACTGCATTATTTAAAAACTCTTTCAAATGTGCTACAGGGTTCATGCGCTTACAGGAGAGAGAGAGAGAGAGAGAGAGACCATGAAAAAGAGAGAATCACCCCCCGGGGGGGGGATGGCCATGTCACAATCCTCAGTTCTCCTCTTGGGATTTGGGGCACACACACAGCATATTTTTCAAGCCGTGAGGTCCAGGATTTGAACCCCACAGTCGGCCACGTGAGATCCAGCCGCCGTAATGTCCACACCTTGCCACCAGCTGGCCTAAAACCTGTGCAGATGTGGAATGTGAAGCAGAGATGGTGAGTCTGTATCCCCAGTCACAGAGCCATGAAGTGGATAAACTGGAACAAACCCAAGCAGGTGGTTCCTGGGCCCACATTATTAATATTTTGGTTAAAAGTAGAATATTGAGAAGTGCCAAAGAAGGCAAACTGGATTTTGAATCCAGTACTACTGTTGACTATCTGTGAGGTATTAGGGCAAGTCGCTTAACCACTCCAAGCATCCCTTTTCTCTTAAAATATTGGCAGTATCAGGTTAAATTATTTAAAATGGTTGTTGTTGTTGTTGTTTTTAGAACTCAAAAAACAGTCAAAGTATCACTAACTGGACCAGCCAGTGGTATGGAAGTTAAGGCACTGGATCCCACATGGCTGACTTCAGAGTTCGAGTCTCGAACCCAGTGGCTTGAAAATCACTCTGGGCACTTGTATGTGCATGCCCAAAATCCTGGCAGGAGAATGGAGAAAAGATTGCAGTGTGCCTTTCCCCAGGGAGTGATTTCTCACTCTCTTCTGTCTCTCTCCAGCGAGCATATGCATGCTACAGCAAAAACGAAAAACAGTAACGACGACCAGCAATGTCATCTGGTTGGTCCAGTGGGGGGAGGTCAGGAGGGCGCGCAAATCATGGAAAGAAGGTGGCAGCAGAACAGGGGTGAGGGATGGCAGGGGCAGTGCCTGGCACAGGGGGCACTGATGCCTGGACAGAGCCCAAGGCTGAAGTTGACACTTAGGGACATAAGCGCACCCAGACTGTAGGTCAGAGTGCCCAGGGGAGTGCTGGGCATTCATCACTCAGTGTTTCTTGACTACCCCCATAGTCACAGCTAAGTAACACCTGCTTCCGGCCCAAAGCAGGAACCATGGGAACACGAGGAACTGGTTGTAATGCACACTAGTGTAGTGCCTGGTAGACCAGCAGGCGGCATGAAGGTTAAGGCACTGGATCCCACATGGGGACTCCAGTCAGCCTGCAGCTGAGTCCCAGACCCCGCACCTTTAAAAACATGCTAGGCGAACGACCAGTAGATAGCATAATGGTTATGCTGCTGGACTCCCTCATAGACGAATCTGGTTGGAGTCCCAGACCTGATGGCTTCACTGGACAAGACAGAGATCATTTCAGCTCATCTGTGTGTTTCAAAGTCTTAAAGACTCTTACTCTGGAACCAGCAGATGGAGGACTGGTTATGTCACTGGACTCCCATGTAGTCAACTGTGGTTCAAGTCCCAGACCTGGTGGCTTAGAACACATGCTGGGCGTGTGTGCATGCATGCCCAAAATTCTAAGAAGAGAATGAAGGAGAAGGGATTGTGGCATGGCCATCCCTCTGCGGGGGTGGGGGAGGGAATGATTTCTCATTTCTGTCTTGCTGTCTCTCTCTGTCTCTCCAGTGAGCGCACATGCCCTATAGCAAAAAATCTCTCCTAAAAATAAATTAGAAATAAAAAAACATGCCAGGCGCTTATGTGTGCATCCCCAAAATCCAGAGAGAAGAATGGAGGAAAAGGAATTGCTGAGTGGCCATCTCCCCTATGGGGGGAATGCTTTCTCACTTTCCCTCTTCCCTTTTCTCTGTCTCTCTCTCTCCAGTGAGCACATGCGCCTTCTAGCACATTATAAAAAAATGTATCAGACTTGTCCAGTGGCATGGTCAGTACCAAACTGAGCTCAGTGCTGAAAGTCATGTGGGGGACTGCAGGTTGGAATCCCAGGCTGACCTGAAAACATGCCCGGTGTGCACATGGAAGCCCAGGACCCTGGATCCTGGAGGCTGGGTTAAAGGGATGGAGGTGTGATGAGACCTGTTGGGGTGTCACCAGGACCCTGGATCCTGGAGGCTGGGTTAAAGGGATGGAGGTGTGATGAGACCTGTTGGGGGTGTCTCTCTTTCTTTCTGTCTGTCTCCTCTCTCTCGTGTGCATGCAGGTGCTCTCTGTCGTGAATAAAATGAATAGACTTTTAAAAGTAAATAACATGTTTTAAATAAATAAAACCGAGTTACTGAGTACCTCTATGCCCTGGGCAAGTGCACACTGTTTTCTGTGTAATGTCATAAGAAGTTTCTCTTTAATTGGTCACTTGTGAGAATCACCGTGGCCGAAAAATGTATCAAACACCCTGTGACATGCCAAAGCTCCGCTCTGCATAGCTCCAATTTATGAGTTCTTGTTTTGCTTAACTCAAAATAACTTGGTTTTCAACGGAACATAAATCTTGCTGATAAGGTTATATTTTTCTTTCTTTCTTTTTTAAATTAATGATGGTCCAGGAAGGGGTGTCTGGATTATATCATGTTCCAAGAGATATTTATTCTCTCCCCCTCAGCCCCCCCGCCCCCGTTTTCCCTCCAGATAAGACATGTCTAGATTATTGACTGCATCTGGTCTCTATCCTGTTCTGGGGATGGGAGCAAACTGTTCCCCCGCCTCCAAAAAAAAAACCACATTCAGATACAGAAAAATGTTCCTTTTTTTCCTGCTTCGACGCTGAGCGTGCTATTTAGTTGTGACTACAGAGGAATCAATAATACTCAGCAAGGAGGGCCTCCCAGAGTTGAGGCATCGCTGACTCAGGCCATCCAAGCAATGGGACTGTCACCAAAGGCACTTAGAATCTCGCAGGAGACTCAAGCCCCACAGAGCGTCATGAAGTGAGGAGAGACCAGGACCAGGCAATATAAAACTGGGGGCCGATTCATCCTGAGGGACAGGCAGACAGTGCCCGTAATGAAGACGCTTTCTGAGCACTGTTATTTTAAAATGAAATCTTACTAGTCAAAGATAACTCCTCCGCAGTCTTTTGGCGTCGTCAGCAGATTAAACTCTGCTCCCTGACATACTACAGCCAGACAAAGCAGTGCTGAGCTCCTTTGAGTGAGAAAAGGATTATTTTCTGCACAACATGGGAGTTGAATCATGGCAGGAGAAGCCAGATTGAAAAATAAGAAGGAAATGAAACAGACCGCTCTGGACGGAGGGGATTTCTGCTGCCCCCAGCCCCTAGAGGGTCAGCTCTGATTCTGTTCATTCTGCAATTCTTCTATTATCCTTCCAGTTTTGTTTTCTCCCAGCCCTGCAGAGAGAGGCCTGTTGCAAGTCAGGACTTGCTCCTTCCCCGAACAAGGACACCTCTGCTAGGAAAGTTGGAAAGACTCGTTTGGTTGGAGGGT